TTATATGGACGTAATTTCAGGTTGTTACCACCGATGTATTGTTACAGCTTCATAATGTTTTATAGTTCATTTGTTTTATTGTTCATAACGACGAATTCTCGAACACAATATCAAAAATGCAATATAAAGCTGTAAAAGAATTACCAGACACTGCAAACTAAAATTGTCATCGAGACAATGCTCTCACTTTCACTGCTAAAACCACATACTGTCGTGAAGGAGATTCCTTTGAAAGTATCTATTATGAGGGTCGCCCTCATTTCTTAGAGCTATCTTCATTGTACAGCTCTAGTGTCAAAGCCTCAGTGTCGGTCAAAAATATTGGTCTCAGCGCCTGAAGTGTGAATTAAATATAATATCAATCTAGCAAAGTACTTATCGTTGCAACTGACATGAGCGTCAACTTATAATAATAATAATAATAATACTAATAACAATTTAATTCTTATATTGCGCGCTTTCCATGGAATGATAAAGCGCGCATTACATCTCAATAATAGTTATTAAAAATATACTATGATAAAATTAAAGCATACAACATACGTTAAGATACTAGCAACTATCATGATAAAATTTTAATAAAAATTGATAAATAGCTTCCTTAAAGAGGTTCATTTTCAGGTGGCACTTAAAAATCCCTAGATCTGTAATAGAACGAATCTCACGCGGTAATGCATTCCAAAGTGCCGGAGTTGCGACCTGGAATGATCTGTCTCCTACTGTAACCCTACTTCTATAAGTTGGCGTTGCAAGCAACAAACCATCCAAGGAGGATCTTAATTTATAAATTCCTGGTCTTTTAATTGACACAAGTTTTCTTAAATACGTTGGCGCAGTTCCATAGATGACCTTAAAAAAAATAGCAGAATCTTAAAACTAATGCGTTGCCTAACCGGTAGCCAGTGTAGCTCGTATACCAACGGCGTTATGCGACAGTAGCGTGGCGCGCAACAAACTAGTCTTGCTGCGGCATTTATAACGCGCTGAATCTTATTCAGGTGAGAAGCTGGTAAGCCATACAAAAGACTATTACAATAATCTACGCGCGAGGTAACAACCGCATGAACGAGGGCTTTAGGGGAGTCAAATTCAATTTCTGGGAGCGGTTCAGTTTGGATGTTAGACAATACTTTTTCCTTCCAGCTCCTACTTTTGCTTTCCGGTTTCCTAAGCTAACAACCAGTTAAAAAGAAGAATCCATCTATCATTCATCATCCGAAAAAGAGACAATTTTCGTTTCTTCTCAATAAAACGGTTGTGGTCGAAATCAACCCGTCTTCACACAAACACACCATGTTTTTAAAGAGCCGATACTGTTTGATTTCTTGGTCCGGCAGGTTCACTTCCTGATCACGTTACGATTCCTGGTAAAATTTGTAAGCCACTGGTTACATGAAGCTCAACCACAATGCAAGTGAGATGATTAATTCACAAATAACTACGATTTTGGTAAGCCTAACTAAAGAATACCCTCTCAATATTAAAACCTTCTTTTAAAACCGGCGATGAGTCAATTGACGATAATATTTCAGTATCGCGGCATCTAGAAGTTTCGTAAGGTTTCGTTTGAAGGAACGTTTCACTTCTCAATTAATTTCAAATATGTATGAATATCGAAGGCGTATGAAAAGGACACTCTCGCAGTCGTACCTGGAACGGGACCTTTCAGTGAAGAAAACTGATCACTGTCTCCAAGATTTCAATCAACAGAAACTATCACCATACAAACAAAGTAACACAGACAATTGGAAAGCAGAAAGAAAATCTTAAAGAATTCAAGGGAAAACATTGAAATTTTGAGATTTATGATGAAAAACAGTTCGGAAAAGCTTAACGTCCGGAAAAAGGACGAGGTCTGCCCCTGGTAAGACTAGCACCACCACAGATGTTTAACAACATTGTTTTAGTCAGTAGGCTTAGGAGCAGCGTTTTTTTTTTTTTGCGTGGGGGATTCCAACAAAGCGCTTTAGCAGATATGTTCACTGTTTTTTCTTTCGTTTTGTTAATTGACGGGAGGATAACACTGGAAAAAGTAATAGCAAAGCAGGAGATTATACCGCTCACTGTACCAAGGCATGTCACAGTAAACAGGGTTATTTCCAAAAAGTTATCTCTGACAGTAGTTTCAAATTATAATCACTAAGGCAAAGAATGACAGATTCAAATATGCTGTTAGATCAAAGCTAATTCGGAGAGGAGGCCGTGCAAGGAAGGGAACGAAACGACACAGAAAAAGTGGAAAAACGGCTCCGCAATGAAATCCGTAAATAGTTTTACAAAAAGCACACAGACCACGACAGACAACAAAGCAAAGATTCACAGTTCAGTTTTAAAAAATGAGCTGGGGTTTGATTTAAGCATGTCAAGAAATACGATATTGTTAAAGTTAGATATATATATATATATATATATATATATACCTCACACACTTGTTCTGATGTCTCAACGACCTTGGCGCCAATATTTCGGATTTCATCTACTTTAGCTGCAAAGGAAGGAGGAATCGGCAGCCAGAGATGTGAAAGAATTCAAGCACATATAGAGGAAAATAGAAGTAAGTAAATTAAACTTTGATTCTACTGTCACCGTCATCAAATACAAGGACAACCCTTGTGAACTTTGTTAGCAAATTTGTCTTAAATTTGAAAGCTGAAAATCAAGTTGAATACGTAGATCGTTAGGACTGTATCATATATATCATATTTTAAGTTTTCATAGCCAGTGCATTCGTAATCAGGTACACACAGTTTTTAACGAACATAATCATTTTAAATGGACGGACTCCGCCATTTAAAATAAAGTTAAAATAAGGACTTCAGTTCAACTCATCAGTTGTAAATAGGGAACAACCTATTCAAAACGACATTATCATGGTTTTCTTTTAAAACCCATTCGTCAAAAGAAAAATATTGCGCAAGTTTAATTAAAACCGTGATGTCAAGTTTTTGATAAGTACTCGAGATCATCCTCTCCTTTAGAAATTTATCACAAGAGCACAGGTTTGATAATTTTATCAATATTTCCGACTAAACCCTTTTCATAAAGGACCTGATACATAACCAGCTTTCCTGCTGGAGAGGGCTTCATGAGTTCCTAATAATTTTCCATCTAGGTTTTAAAATTGAAACCCTCTTCCGTTTACTGAACTTGGCTCTATTCAGAGTCAAGTACAACATTTTGATACATCGTTTTTTAAGGAAAAGCCAATACTTTTTTCTCTTTGTCACACTTTTCACTGCTTTCTTTAATTTCTTTTTCGATGTTTCATCTCTAGCTTTTCTAACGAAACACTGAAAAATGTAACTGTAATAAATGTGGCATTGTATCTTTTCGTTCCATAGTGTCGCCGGTCACTTCAGATCTCGTCATCACCATCCCAAAGTGTTAAAACGTTTAATGGGTGATTCAGCAGATTGTGCTAACCAATGCACAGTTTAAGTGTTGACACGAATGAAAGAAATACATTTAAGAAACTGACGGTGCCAAAAATAAGACATTATCGGCTAAACTTGATAACAAACTTTTGCAAACACTACTCAACTGACTCGTGTTAATTCAACTACTGCTGTCCCAAATCCTAACAGCTGGGCTTCAGTTAGGCAACAGGCTGTCGAAGATCATGTAATGGTGCATTACAACTGAGCTTCTGCCTGCCGTGTAGCTTAAAATTTTTGCGTGAGTCATATTTGGATAAACGATTTTTAATGTTTCGCGGGATCCAATTCAGGAGATTCCTTATGACTGCAATGATGATGATGATGATAGTTTATTAACACTTCTGGCAGTTAAAAAAACTGAACAAAACAGTGTAATTTTAAAAGGATATTAAAAAGAATCTTACTAGATACCAATAATAAAGTCTATTTACAATAATAAGTCTTAAGAATTCGAATAATTGTAGTAGGCATACTCTAGGACCGATCTGATATTACAAGTGTATACCTTAAGCATGTCTT